CAGGAGTGACCAGGAATAACGGTCACAAGCTGGCAGAGGGCAGGTTTAGGCTAGATATCAGGAGGCGCGACTTCATGGTCAGGGCAGCTAGGATCTGGAACCAACTTGCAAGTGAAGTGGTGCTGGCTCCTACCCTGGGGGTCTTTAAGAGGAGGTTAGATGAACACTTTGCTGGGGTCGTTTGACCCCAGTACTCTTTCCTGCCATGGCAGGGGGTCGGACTTGATGATCTGCTCAGGTCCCTTCTGACCCTACAAACTATCTCCAAACAGCACGACTTGCCTTCTCTGCCCCATCCCTCGAGGAGTGACCACTACTGCTTACCCTCCTGCCCCATCACCCACCTCCAGATGTGTTACCAGCGCCCTCTACTATGGAGCAGGCTTAACCAAGTCAAGGGACTATTGAGTACAGCTTAGGAAGTAAAAGATTCAAGTTTATAAAAGCTTTTATTTGCTCACGGTATGACCGAGGGGACAGCGCTCTTTTATACAGTAAGTGGTACAAAAGAATGGTTGTAAATGAACAGCCAGAGTGGGTTAGCCAAACAAAAAATTTAAAGTGTAATTAAAATATTGTAAGCAAGGTAGTTAATGAGCTTAGACCTGATCACAGCCAGAACTTCCAACAAGGCTAAAAACTGCACTGCCTGTCTCAGACTCCTGAGGTCTTTGCCACCGACTACTCTGCTACTGCTCACAGCGCTGCTGTCTTACAGCCGAGGGAGAAGACTGGGGCATAAATCATTCAATGTTTAAAATGCTGTAAAGGCAACTGGACAAATAGATTCCATTTCAAGTTTTAGCTTTTGATTAGGAATTTAATTTTTTTTTTTTTTTTTGCTATGGCAAAAATTGTAAGTGAAAGTTAGCAGCGATGCTCCTCTGGGGGCTAGCTATGTTAAAAAAAGATCACCCCTCCACTGGTACAGGCTACATTGTGTGCAGCGGGATTAATTGGTGCCAGGGTAATTAAAAACTACATTTGGACTTTGTCGCTGCAGAATCCAGAGAGCTCCCATCACTGCCTGGAAGGGGTCTGTGGAAGTCTCCTTTTAGACCATCAGACTTTACCCTCAGGGGCAGGAGTGGCAGGGGAAGAGAATGGGTCCTCCTGCAAGTATGCGACTCACAAGCAGTTTGGGAGCTGGCAATAAAAATTACTACACATATCCCAAAAGGATTATTTCGCTTTAGCAGAGGCGCATACGCTTAAGGCTTCTTCCTCCATAAATGTGCCTCACACTCCACAAATAAATGAAAGCCAAGCCGCACAGTTGGAAATCATGTTTTTATATGAACAGAAATAGACCGTCTAGAAATATTTCAGTTTATTTAACTTGTTAAGTAGAATATGAAACTGAATTTGTAGCTAGTAGTACCAGAGAGTGGACTGTTCTCCAACTGCTTGGTGTTTTAACGAACACAGCTTCCACAAAGGATCCCAACAGACTTGCACAGGAGAGGCAGAGCCCCACGAAGCAAATGAAAAAGCTCATGGTCTAGACAGAGATTATACAAAAATGGAAGTATACTCCATTTTCCCTTTTTTGATAATGTTAGAAAGTGCAGATTTAACAGAAAGGTAGCCGGATTCTCTCTATTTACAAAGCTGATCAATAGGCGAGAAACAAAACCATGTCAAATTTAATCCCTTAGAATCCCAGTTCCTTGCCTTTACCTCAACAGCCACTCAACTGGGAAGGGTTAACAGGTAGAGAGAGACAGAAAAAAATAAAAAATAAACCACACCACACATAGGAAGAGGGAGACATCAGTAAAGTTACTACACAGAGCGGGTCAGAACAAGGAAGTTAAAAACACTGTAAATTCATTGAAGTCAAGTCAGGTCATTTGTTGTTACTAAGTGGAGGAAGATCAAGAAAGCAAGTGCATGAGTCAGGCACAAAACCCGCCCAATTACGAGAATTAGATTCTGGGGTTCCATTTACAATTGTTTCTTAGCAGAGGAGTCCTCCTACAGTGTGTACAGGCAAGCCAGGCGGATGTTAAAACGCTGTCCCTGACAAGACACCCAATTCAATAGGAGCGGTCTAAATCAGCCCGGTGTTCTTCAGCCCCTTCGCTGCTAGGAATGAATGAAGCCATTCAGCTATTTAACACACAGGTGTCTTATTGGGACGCTAGTAGCGTAGCTAGCAGGTCTTTATCTACAGAGGAAGCAGAGAGGCAAAAAACTGGAAAAGCAAGTTAAATACTCAGGGGGGCTGAAAAACACAGGGATGCTGATTCTCTCTCCCTTCTGAATCACCTGTGGTCTTCCAACAGGATGCAAGTGAGGTCAAGAATGACCACAGCAAAGTACAGATGATTCTTATTTAATATACATTTTCTTTTAAACTTAACACTGGGAAATGGAAAAAGTTTCAGGGAAGCAGTAATTCAACACAACTGCCAACTCTGTTTTTTCTTTCTTTAAAAAAAAAAAAATCTATTTACTGAACCTCTTACTAGGCTACCAAATGACTCATTGGAGCAGCTAACAAATCAAAAGAACTTTTAAGTTCAAGTCAACTGTTGTCAGTTTGGGAACGGCATGTTATATTCATACACATAGAGCAGACAACCACATCACCCTCCATAGAAAACTAGTGCATGCAAACAACTCTTCCATATCATAAAACCCAATGGCTATGCAGGAGGAGAGAAGAGATACTAGTGAATTGACATTGGCTAGAGGGAAATTAGTAAGTATCTTTAACATTTTATCTTGAAAGCTAAATCAGTGCTTTGTATTAAGTTTGGCAAACTTACAAGGTTGCCGTCTTTTTCATTAACACATCACACCATGAAGGAAAGCAAATAAAAGCAGCATGCAGGCAAAAAGAAAGAAGTTGCGGGGGAGGAGGGAAGTAAAATTTAAAAAAACGGCAGCGGGAACAGTTCTGAATTGCTAAGTCACCCAAGGGGAGACCCAGCACATTAAATGCAAGTTTTTTGTGGGTTTTTTTGCACCACCCTTTGTCCTTGATGCATCATCACACCAACAAATCACAGTAAAGCAACCACAAAGAGTTCGATAATTTAAAATGGTCAAGTATGGATGTATAATCAAATCTCCTGCACATGCTTCCACCAGAACAAAGGAAAAAAAAGGAAAAAAAAATGTTCCTTTCCACATAAGGCACAGGACAAAAAATAAACCCCATTTACATACTCAAGGCAAAAATGAGTGTTTTCCTGGCTCTTCTGCTGATGCCTGTCTATAGAATATGGTGACTCAAGCACATAATCTATAACAGAAAATTCCACTGTTGTACCAAAGAAATTGTTAATTCTAACTTTTATTCTTATACAATTTGCAGAGTAGAGTTTAAATGATTGCTATAAGTTTTAATGTGAAGAGCAACGGGACTATAATACAACCAAAATGTAGTGGTGAGTTGAGCAGGGACATTAAAAAAAAGTGAAGTCACGGACATGATATTTTTTTTTTTTTTTTTTTTTTTTTTTTTTTATACACTTTGTTGAGAAAATTATAGTCAGCAAGCTGTCCTAACCAGAAGAACATGGGGATACTGGAGCTCTGTTAAGATGAGAAACAAAACATTTGTTTAAAGGTTAAAAATGGGCAGAGTGGTTTGTTTTACAGCGAGAAAAAAGGGGTGGTGGATGGCGATTGGTGATATAGGAGAACGTTCAGCAACACTTGCTCTTCCAGCCTGTCACTCCACTTCCACTGGTGATATCTACATTTTCACTGTTGGGCTCTTTTACAGGGGTCTGTAGAGAAAGGAGAAAAAACACAAAAATGAGAATTAGACCACTGATATTACGAAGTAGGACAGACAAGCAGTGCAAGAGTGATACAAGCTTGCAGAAAGCTCTGAAATCAAAAAGGAAGTCTAGAAATGATGTGGACCTAAACCTCCTCAGAAATGTGGAGATCTTTGCATTGATGCTTCTTGGCAAGCTGATCCAGGACCACCGTATCTGAAATCCAGGCTCTGGATGTTTGCAACAAGCTTTACAGCTTGGGCTCAAACTCCAAAAAGAAACCTAACCTGGTTCTAGCCCCTAAGTTTGGGACAGAACAAAGTTTAATCAGTCACACTAACAAGTTGCAGGAGAACTGAGATTTAGCTGGGACTTCTGACTACTTATTCAGTAGCCGAGCGTTTTAGTAACTTAGAACCATGATCAAATTCCAGTACCTCACTGTAAAAGGGCAAATAAAATGGTTGTGGGGCTGGGGAACAACTTGTGAGGAGAGGCTGAGGGAACTGGGCTGATTCAGTCTGAAGAAGAGAAGACCAAGGGGGACAGAATAGCAGCCTTCACCTCCCTGCAGGGGGCTGCAGATAGGATGGAGCTGGACTGTTGGGGGGGGGGGGGGGGGGAGATGACAGGAAAAGG